CGTTTCATTAAACTGTGTGTTTTTCATCCAGATCCATAAAAGCACTTCGTCAGCGCAACCTGATGTAGTGTAGTCGTAAATATAGGTTGGAAAAGTGAAAAATCGAGTTGCATTGTTTTGCAGATTATTGCGGAAGGTCTGCGCAAGGATATCCATTCGGCTGTGTTGTCACGGTGTTCCTCACTTCGAGCAGCGCGCAAAAGCCATCTGAATGAGTTGCACATTATTCACGGCGTGCTCAATTCCTCTATCGATAATATGATTAAATTTCAAAAAAATTACTGGTAAATTTCCGATTGCTTTCTTCTAGGATATCATTTGAAAGAATTTTCTCGCATCTCCGATTGCGTACGGGCAGCGGTACTGAAATGGGGTAGGAGCTAGAAGGGCCTGAAATGGCTTAGCTTAGCTCGTAGGTGCATCTCGTTGTTTCTACAGAAGCTGTAGTATGCACATTGCAAAGATTTTAAGTAATTTTTGCGTTGTTTTTAATAATTTCGGCGATTCGTTAATTTATGAACTGATCCCAGCCTTTGTTTCCTCGTCCATAGAAAGCAGTGAAATATTACAAGCAGATCCAAATTCAGATCCAAATCCATCCAGATTCAAAAAACAAGCAAAAAATTACAAGCAAAAAAAAAAACCAAAAAAACAAAAAAAAAAACATGAAAAAAAAATTGCAAACAAAAATTACAAAAACAAAAATCCCTCTGTGCTTTATACATCATGGCAATGCTTTGCAGGAAGGCATTCAAAGATGCAGAAGTGGCTCATTTGAAGTACGATAAAGCGGAGAAAAATATGGATCTGTCACGAGCGGATTTGGAAAAAGCCAAAAACAACGCGATGCAGCGGACCCAGATCTGCGAAGATGCGAAGCAAAACTATGCGCATGCATTGCAAGCCGCCAACCAGCAACAGTATCAGCACTACAATCAGCTGTTGCCTCAAATTTTAGAAGTAAGCTCACTTTTTTGTGCATATTCATTCATTCATTCACCGTTCACGAGTTGCGCTGCGAGTTAGCTCATCGATTATCATCTCCAGTCGTTCACGTTTTGAAAAGGGATGCACAGATT